TGAAGCTGACCACCAGGTAGTATTATGGCTACTAGCATTATATGCTTACTGACCTAGACAAATCAACTCGCCTACAGGTGTGTTATACATTGAACCTCCCCTAGCTAAACATACATGACCTATTATGGATGTTTTTAGTTGCCATTCCGATTTTTCCCATATGGTTGCTTGATTACTGGAGTGGGAAGGCATCTGTGGCTCATTTGTCTCAGAACCATGGTACCATACTTCTCACACTTCCCATGGCCATTGGTGTCCCATATTTGTACCTCCACATACAAAGCAATTAGTTATATTAAGACTACTTGCAATGCTCTCAGCCAGATCGATGACCAGGTTCTTAGCAGGGTGGGGAACTTCATCTTCAACACTCACCTACTCATAAAAGGAATGGAATACCTGATGAGTTTGGGCATTCAAGGTCTCGGTTTCATGGCCTATATATAGGATGGCTCCTGGGTCTGTCCCTGTTACATATATTTGGAAACCAAAAAGATTCCCAAACGTATTAATAAATTGCTGTGGATTAGAAATTGTCATGTGTACAGGATTACACTCCATTGATTTACAATGAGGAGTAGTAGGTAACCTCTGAATTATCAGATCTTGGTCTACTGTTTTTCCCAAGGTCGCCCAACTTACACATAACCAATATGGGCAAAAGTTGAAGTCCCTATTTGGACAAACAGGGTCAGTAGATCTTCTACTCTGGCATAGATATTTATCATTAAACCCATAGGTTCGTTCCCACTTAAGATTACCACATATGTTCTAAGGTTTTCCACTACCAGAAATTGCTTGCATCGAATAGAAGGATGCCTAAGTACTTAAAGTTTTATTTATCAATGCGCCCTGAGAGTAGGTATTTCAAAGAACCAGCCAGATTATACGGGGTTGGAATTGGGGATCAAAGCACTTGGTTCACCTGACACTGGCTGACACACACTATAATCAGTGTCTAATTATCTACTGTAACGGCTACCCAGCTGGTGAGGGGTATCTGCCGTTGGAGACGTCCTTTTCTAGGCAAGCTGCTGTGAAGTAATGGAATTCTTATTCCCATCCACGGTATCCAATTGTATAATCCAGGAGTGCTGTAAAATGAGGCAGAGTAACGGTACCATAAATCCCCTCCAAGAACGAGACGAGGCTACGTTTTGAAGGGTCAAGTAGAACTGATGTTTATTGACAGGGGGTCTCCTTTTATGCAATATTGCCCTCTGAAAGGCTACACCCACATAATTATCACAACAGCCAATTACATACATAGTTCAACCCCCACGTCTCCTCCCCTCAGATAACATGTAACACAATTAAAACAGACACAATTTTAACTACATTCTGGTTGTAC